TGGCGGTGGTGGTGGGGGGGGTGGCGGCGAGAGCCGCTGGGGTGAGGGGCTGGGGCCTCTGTGATGGAGGAAAGGCCTGGGTGACCGCGGGGGCGGGCTGTGACGTCAGGGCCGCGAGCGGAATGCGGCGGGGGTGGACGCGGGGTCCCCGGCGCCTTCCAAGCCCTGTGCCTTCACTCATGCCCCTTACGGGAGCTTCCAGCAGCCACCCCGCAGCACAGCATGTAGTGATGATGGGTTGTGTGACTTGTCATTAACTCAGGCTTCTTTACGAAAAGGATTTTTCACCATTTCAACAAGAATATTAAAAGTTCGTTAATCCCTGCTTGTCCAGAACGGCCAGCGCAAAGCTTGGTGTACTGTCTGCATCCGGGGACGGAGGGTGCTTAAGAGCCGTTTCTCACCTGACCTGCATCAGTGGGATAGCCTCCAAGACTCCTCCTGTGTTCCCTGTTTTCCAAAAATAAGGCAGTGGTTCTCCCGGGAAAGAGTGTTAAGATGTATAAGTTCGACCACTCCAGCCGATGTTTGGCAGTGTATTCAGCTCGGCTTTGCTAGCTTGTTCCTTGCTTGATAAAAATTGTGCAGCCCAGTCCCGAGAGAGCAACTCCTGGTGTGAGTGTTGAGGCTTTGACTCCTGCAGCTAGGTAGTGTTTATCTTTATCTGTGATGAAAAGTTCAATTCAGCAGTATCATTTGAGAATCAGAAAATTAAGGCACTCTAAGAAAGAGAACTGAAAATTATTTTAAATGCTGTTGAATAGCCCCGGACTCCTTGGTAGACCAGTACGCTTATGAGCATATTTAAACGAGATTTGAGTTAATACTGTATATTTTGTATTATGTTCTGTTTTTCTCTTAAATGTATTTAGATAATTATCATAGTAAAAGAATTGAGGAAGGCTAAGCTTTATTTTTTTAGCAAATGAGATATATATTTTATCTTTTAGTGTGAAACGGAATTTACTTTTGTCAGTATTAACCTTTTTGCTATTTAACCTTTTTAGCCTTTTTTACTATTGAAAATGTCATGCATTTTTGTTATAAAATTTTTAAGCAATTCAGAAATGCATGAAGTAAAGTGAACATTCTGTGTTTTTCTTACTGTTAACACCTTGCATTGACATCCATAAATGCACTGAGCTGTATCTTTTTTTCCCCTAAACTTAGATGATACAACCTGGGTTGCAGTTTGCATTAAGCATTATGATCTAGTACATTTATAACTTACTAAAGTAATAAACTTATAAACTTAGCATTGTAATCTAGTTTATAGTTGTTTTTTTTAATAACTTTTTTCCTGTCAATTGTTTATGATCCAAGAAATCTGGCTTTTGAGATCTATATTAAAGAACTTCAGTTAATTTTGTAGTTAGACTGGAAATTTCGTAATTAGAGTTCTTTTTCAAGTATGTGTTATTTCAGGAGCAATCAGCTCATTAGTTTACATTTATGTAGTTACCATAATAAATTTATCTGTATGAGTGTTAGAGTTCTGCTTGCTCAAGCTTTTGCAGCCCTTACTGATATGGACTGCATTTTTCTAACACTCAAAATTTTAAATTTTGTTAGAATATTATAAACAAAAGCTTAGCGTAGACAAGAATCAGAGTCAAAACAAGTCTGACATATAATGGAAACATTGATGAATCTCAAAAGGATGTGGAAATCATAGGATTCTCCCTTAGAAAGGGAGGTTTTTAATGTCCTTCAATATTTAACAATATACAAAGACCCTGGGGTGACACCTTGCTCAGAAAATTCATTCTTGAAGTCCTCAGAGGCTGTTTCAGCTTTGCTTTTCCTGCCCTTTCAGAACAATTCTCTGAGTCAAAGCTCAGCTTTATTTGGGAGAAATCTCACTGTAAATTGTATAGAATTCTGTCCCTTCATGAGGGCTTGGGGGTTAGGTCCGTGATCAGACTGCACATGCCAGCCTTTTGTTGGAAGGGGCTAGTGAAATTCAGCGTTTGCATTATCCACTTGGAGCTGCTGATTGAGCACAGAAAAACTACATTCAGTTGCATTCTTAATCTCTTAGTAGTAAGTTGTGGTGTCGGGGGAAACTGGACCCGTTATCTTTGTTTTTTGGGTTTTGGAAGGAAAATGAAATGTTTGCAGGGTATTGATAATTATCCTAATGAGTAGCCAGTCACATTTGATGGTTTTCAGTTTATACACAGAAGCTACAGAAGAAGCTTTAGAAATTTGAAACTGTATTAAAATAACTTCTTACATTGAGGGAAAGCTGTTGAAAAGTATTGTTACTGTTTTTGTACTTGCTGATGGCTGTTCCTGTCATGGCCTGTTACCATCTTCAACTCGTTAGATAATTAACTTTCATAATAACATTTTCTACCTCACATTTCAAATGCCTCTTCCATATTTGATCTTGTTAGTAATGTGTGTGCCCACGGATCTGGCATTGCATAGTCCTGGGCAACTGGGCTTAAGTGTCCGTCTCTGTTTTGTTTCTGCAGTTAAAGCATAATGCTCTGCTTATGATAACATCTTTCCTGTATCCTAAACATGTCACAAGCTCAGATTGTGACTTCAGGATGCAAATCAGATTTTAGCATTTCTAGGTTATGGGACTTGAACTTAAGATTGAACTTCGATCTGTTATGCAACTTTTCACATTTCAAAAAAATACTTCGTTAACTAATAAGTAATAAATGGCACCGTTTTGTGCTAGTGGTGTTGCAGACATGAGTTTTGCTTTAAAATGAGATCAGTAAGGTATTTGAACTATATTAATATCTACATATGCCCAGTTTATAAGGTTTAGGTAGAAAATATTAAGTAAGAAAGTAGGAAAGTACATGTAAACATAGATTCCTTGAGAGTTGTATGTATCTGGCCAAGTAGAAAGGAACAGAGCAGTGAAAAAAAATGCCCATTAATTCAAGTACATTTAATATTTTTATAGACATACAGCCAATGTGAACGATGACTTATACTGAGAAAAATCGAAGCTACTAAAATAAAACTTGTACATAATGTTTGAGATGGAGACCTGTTAAATGTACACAAAAGAAAAAACATGTTTTTTGGAAAATGACTTAAGAAGTGAAAAACTTATTCACAATATATTTACCAAATACTAGATGCCTTAAGATATAGACTCTGCTTAAAATTTTAAAGCATCCAAACTGAGAGGAATAAAGGAAGAGGACAGAGAAGACCAGAGTGGCCCCAGCCCCAACCTGGCTCAGTGCTGGCCCCTCTGTGCATGGGACATGCCCCTTAAAGTGCTGACCGGCCCTTGTGTGAGTTGGCAAATTACCAGCGTGGCCTCATATTTGAGAAGTGTGATCATAAATGTGTAAGTCCCATCAAAGACCAAGAAAATCCGTTTTTAAGTGAAAAAAGATACAACTGTACAAACTATTTAAAAATAAAAACATAATCAGCCAGTGATGAACTATAGTTGAGGTTATGAAAGTACACTCTGAAATACAGGATATTTAATTTCTGGATGGCACTTAGCTGCAGTGTCTTGATAAAGCCACTCTTGTGAAATGTGGTTGATTAAGTGTGTAAAATCTCCATCACTGTTGCAGTGTCATTGTGAGATACCTGTAATCGTAGGTTAGTCAGTATCATTTAATCTTATACTTTCTAGGACATAAGGGAAAGAGTATGATTCACTTGTAATGTCAGAGTTTTATTAAGGAGTAGTTGACTCGACTCTGGGCAGTAGTAGTACCAGCGACTTTTTTCTTCCCTGAACTTTTCCAAACTTCCCCGCATTTTCCTGTGACACTGATTTCTAGGAAAGTGAAAATGTGAAGTACCTGTGAATGTACCTGTGGCAGACCTCGTGTTCTAGCTCCCCGCTTTTGATTTTTCGCCGGCAGGCCAGAAGCGAACTCCCAGAAGAGGGGAGCAGCAAGGATGGAATGACAGCCGAGGGACGGAGGTGACACTTGACAGAGCCGAGCGGAGATCCTACAGGGAATATCGACCCTATGAGACCGAGAGGCAGGCGGACTTTACACCTGAGAAGTTTACAGATGAAAAGTAGGTACTGCAGACGTGGGCCAGGAGGGCAGGGGGAGCCAGAAGGATTCTCAGAGAACTACTAGCCTTTGTGACCTTTTTTGTGGTGCCAGACCTGGGACTGTTTGCCAATTTAAGTACCAAATCACGTGGCCTTAGGGAACACATGGAGGATCTTCTGCTTATCTTGGAGATGACCTTAAGTCCTGGTTCAGGACATGATTGATGAAAAATGGATTATTTATTGGTAACCATGAAGAGTACTCTTATAAACAAACTATACAGGAGTATATTAAACTGGTTAAATTTTCTTTTGAAGTTGGGGCCAGGGATGTAGTTATATTTTGATTTAGCATTGCTAATTTAGACGACTAATGAATTTAAATGTATGCCTAGCCCCACGTCAGGTCAATGGGTTATCATGATGAAATTTGACCAAAAAAACGTGTAGACTGTGTGACCCCCCAGCTTCTGGCTCCCATGCCTTCCCTGGAAAGTGCTCTGACCTGGGAGGTGGTCTCAGGCTGGTACAGTCTGACGCCACTTCTGAGGGGCTGTCATGCCCACCCATACACAGGAAGCAGTTCATAGTGTCTTATGCTTGGGCACTGACAAGATGGGTATTTGCTGCCCAAAGTTTTTAATTATTAAACCTACCTAACATTGGATTTAGATTAAACTGAAACAACTTGTGAATCATAACCAAAGGAAAACAAAGTTAAACCGGCTTAAAGGAGACTAGAACGGTGTACAGTTCAATGTCATGGGAGCCATTACTCCCAAAGTCTTTCAGCTTCTCGACTTCCAGTTCCACTTAGGAGTCTGGCTGCAAGTTTTAACCAAAACGATGGCTTTGTAAGACAGTGCTCTAGAGTCCATTAAAACTAACCGGAAAGGAAAAAAAAATTCAGCAGAGAATCCCTCAGTCTGAGTGAGAGGGCTGAACAGGTGGAAGTTACACATTCAAAACGTAGAGATGCTGATATGTGCTCGGCTGGGACACTGCGCTGTGCACCAGAAACTGACACATTGTAACTGACTATGCCTCAGTTATTAAAAAAAAACCCAGATGAGGTGTATCTGCCACCATATTAGAGGATTGATGGTTAGAGAAAGGCTGAATTCTGCTTTTTGTGGGGGCAAGGGGTGTGATTTCTTCAAATTTGCTATGTAATAGCTGTAGTCTGCTTGCTTACAGAAGGGCTTCTAGGTCAGAGCTGCTTGTTTTGGAAAGCATTTGTGTATTTTTTTCCTCACTTCAGGGATTTATTCTGTGGGAAAAAGGAAATTATAGCTCAAAAGCACAAACCTGTGTTTCCAGCTTTTTAAGTAGCAAAATTATGAGTGTTTAGAAAGGATAAGATAGGTCTTTATATGTTGAGATGAAAAAAATGGCTGTGAAGTGATGCATATTTCAGATTTACAGAGAGTTACAAGAATTACATAGAGAATTCCCATACACACTCAAGATTCCCCAAATGACACTTTAACACGTTTGCTGTATCATAGCTTTCCCTTCCTTTCTCCTTTTCTTTCTCCTCCTTTCTCTCTCTCTCTCACACACATTTCTTTTCTTTGTCATTTGAGAATAAAGTGCAGCAATGTCCCTTTATCCCTAAATACTTTAAATGTATGTCCTGAAAACATGGTACAATTATCAAATTCATAAACACTGATGCAATAGTATCATCTAGTTCTCTAAATTTTGTAGTCTACTGGCTACTGAGATTTTACCACTTGTCCTAATAACATCCTTTTAGCAAAAGAAAAAAAAAATTCCTGGTTCAGGAGCCAGTCTAGGAATGTGCATTGCTCTCAGTCTTCTTTAATTGGAAACGGCTCTTCAGTCCTGTATTTTTTATGGATTCGACATTTCTGAAGAACATGGACCAGTTATTTTGTAGAACAGCCCAGAATTTGAGTTTGCCTACTGTTTCCTCATGGAACAAGGTTACGCACTCTGGCAGGAGGACCGCAGAAGTGACGTCTTGTTTACTTTCACGGAAATTTGAAAACATTTTTTGATAAGTCATGTGCTGTCAGAAAAGATATTTTCCCTCTTTTTTTTAAAAAAATACTCTTCTATTAATAAAGATCCGTAAGATATTTAATAAAAATAATTTATAGTCAAAGTTAGTCAATTTGGAAAATGCGTAAAACTGTAAGGATTAAAACCACCTCTCTTACCATCTGAGATGATTTCTCTTAACACTTAGCATATTGTCTCCCTTTCTTTTTTATACATAGGTATGCTTAGATGTTAAAATGTTAATACATATACACTGAGAACTGTATATTTCTTCTCCACTTGACAAGCAGAAGTCAGTAACGTCATTAACAATGTTTGGTAGGCGTTTCTCATGGTTCTGTTGTGATCTATGTTTGGAGTATTACAATGTAATTATTCCATTAGTGTTGGACCTCTGCTCAGCTTCCAGTTTTTTGGTTTATGAAGGATACCCAACGAACAGCTTTTTATATGTGTAGGAACTTTCCTAAACGGAGTTCTTGAAGTGGGAATCCCAGTTAGGGTCATAAAGCACTGGTTCTTAGCTGGATGTTGTGTATCCAAATCCGGGACCCAGTTTGTACTTCACTGCAAGGTTGGATGGGTACATGTAGTGTGAAAACAAACAAAAATTGGGGTGTGTGGGGCAATTGTTGCTACATAGTGACAGATCACTGTCCTAGTAACCTGTGAGATTACTTGAGTATGATAAAGTTTCATCTTTGCTTATTTAGTAGTGAAAAATGGTATCAACCTGTATTTCTATGATACCAGTACATGCTTATTGGACAGAATTACGGAATCTTGATCATTTTAACAGACTAATCCCGGCCTCTCAATTTATGGATGAAGAAACACCCAGAGTTTTAGCGACATGGAAGTTTTTTTTTTTCCCCACTAAAGCAGAACACACGTTTTCACATGGAAGCAGTGGGATAAATGGTAACTGTCCGTGTGGCTCAGGTGCGCAGAGCTGTCACTTGCTGCGTACGCTCTCGGAGTGCAACTACTGTTGTTAGTGCCATCGGAATTTTCTTTAGGCTCCAAATGATGAACTTAAGTGAACTCTTAGAACAGTGACTATTAGGAAATTAGTCTGCCTCTTTCTGGATACAGTTTGGCTTTTTCTTTGGCTGTTTCTGCAGTTTAGTGCTGGTCATTTAAAGTCAGTTCCAGTTTTGAAAGAATCACTTACTCAGACGTTTAGTTTTTTTTTTTCCTTCCTCATAAGAAAACATTTCAAAAAATTGCAGTAAAATATACATAACATGAAATTTACCGTTTTAACCACTTCTAAGTGTACAGTGCAGGGCATTAAGTACGTTAATTGTTTTGCAGCCATCTCTACCATCTGTCTCCAGATCGTTTCATCTTCCCAAACTGTACCTGTGAAACATTTAATTCCCCATTCCTCCCTCCATGAATTCATGCCTTTTACCTGTAAGACAGGTCAGGCACTCACCCGACTTGGCTGGGCTGTTGTAAGCACGTGGATTGTAAGTATGTGAAGCTGGATGGGATACTCGGCCCAGGACAATACCGTTTTCCTTCCTTTTGTTTTTACGTCACAGTAAAGCTTCCTCAGTGGAATACAGGACTCCTCAATGCTCACCAAGTGACGAAAAAGGATATATTTCATAAGAAGAGGATTATAAAGAAGGAATTGAGAATATACGTAATTGGGTTTTGGGGTGGGAGTATCTATGAAATAAAGAAAAGTGGTTTAACAGATTAAAATACACAGGGCAGTGTTTAGGTTTCAATTACCATTCTATTTCCAATGAATTTGTTACTTTGTCAGTATCTGATTTAGATTTCATGTCAGTTTAGACCCGATTTTGACTGTTGGCAGTGTTTTCCCTGTATGTTTTTGTGCTTCATTTCCTCTCAGTTTTTAGGTAAACTTCTTTTCTGGCTCTGGTTAACTTCCTGGTTAAGAATTCCCTGTTGTTTTCTCATTGGTCACTGTTTTAGAACTCTACTTTAGATATTTACTGTAATGTGGAATCAGATTTTACAGTGGTCTCTGTTTAAAAATTTGGTTTCGGTCTGGGGAGGTGGGAGACAGAAAAGCCAACTTGGAGAATTGATTTAGGATGCTGTTCCTTATAAGAGAGTGACATAAAGTTAGTAATTGGTGCTTCTGTATTTTTTTTATCTTTTCGACTAGGGAGAATTGTGAGTTTTGTGTCTTTTTACCCATGATCATACAGTAGCTTTTTTTTTTTAAGAGTAGCTTTTTTCTTTTTCTTTTTTTTTGATTTTATTGAGTTATAGTCAGTTTACAATGTTGTGTCAAATTCCAGTGTAGAGCACAATTTTTCAGTTATACATGAATATACATACATTCATTGTCACATTCTCTTTCGCTGTGAGCCACCACAAGATTCTGTATATATTTCCCTGTGCTACACAGTACAATCTTGTTTATCTATTCCATACAGTAGCTTTTTAATGTAACATTTTCAGCCACACAGGTAGACTGGAGCACACTTCTGGTTCTGGTTTCTGAGCCACGAATGTCACTAGCTTTCAGCAAGTAATTTGTTGTCGCTTTAAATGTGTCTGAAAGCCTTGACAAATTAAAATATATAATTTACCTTATTAAACTAGGGATTAACGATGAAAAAGATGAGGCCCTTCCAGCAGGAGCTTTGAGTTTGGTGGAGGAGGGGCAGGTGCTCATAAAAACTGACCATGACCTGATGGCAGCAGAGATGAGCGTGGGGAGAGGCGGGCAGTCAGGCCCTGGATCCAGCGGGTGTGGCAGGGAAGGAGAGAGGAGTGGAGAAAAGGCAGATTTTTGGTCTGGACACTCTTGTGTTGAGTTAGGGACCATAGGAGGAGCAGGGGGTCAGGGTTGGTCATGTATCTACAGGGCAGGGGGTACAGAGGGGGGACATCCAGGAAGTAACTGACTTTGTGGCCTGGAATCAGAGAGCGCCCGAATGAGACACAGGGGCTCATGAATGAGGGTCACATAGGGTGAGTGCAGAGACAGGACGATGTGTGCAGGAGATGGAGCGGCGGGAATGCTGGTGCACTGAAGGGCACACAGGTGGGTACACAGGAGAAAGGGTGTACAAGACATGCTCCATGAAAAGGGCAAGATGCAGACACTTTCCCTTTGTGTGACTCAGCAAGCGTCTGCCTCTGAGAAGTGGAATTTGGTGGCCAAGAAGCAAGAATACCACCTTGTGAATGTTTGGGTATTACCTATTTCAAAAATAATTTTTTGAGAGCAGGCAGGGAAGGAGAAGCCAAAAAGGGAAGAGGAAATTTTAGCGTCGGCAGTGTCAAATGATGCATAGGGGTCGGATGACATAGACACAAAAATTGCTATTGGATTTAACAACAAAGAAGCCATCTTCAACTGTCTTCCTCATCTGTGGGCAACAGTAGTGATTAAATGACTGTGCATGAAGGGTTCAGAACGGTGCCAGACATAGTGCGTGCTCAGTAAAATTTATTATTCAAGCCACATCGTTCTTTCTAATATTCTATAGCCATAACGTCCTTCTGGAATTTTTTTTTCCTCAAAAAAAAAAAGCCTTGGCTCTTTCATCCAATTCACCACTTTTTATTATACCCATTTCCTCCTAGACCAGTTGACAGGTTTGATCGAGACAGGCCACTGAGAGGACGTGGAGGCCCAAGAGGGGGCATGCGAAGCAGAGGCAGAGGTGGTCCTGGGAACAGAGCTTTTGACGGTTTTGACCAGAGAGGAAGACGAGAATTTGAGAGATACGGTGGGAGTGATAAAATGTAAGTTTCTTTGTAAATGCAATTTTCCCTTTAAGATCTCGGTTAGACCTGGTGTGAATCTGTTGTGTGTGCATAATTACTTGACTGTACATTAGTATACTCTTATTCCTGAGGGAACTGATCAACTTTTCTGATTTGGAGATGGACTGGAGACCAGCTTCCAGTTTAAGGGAATATTCTTTCTCTCTCTAGAGCAATCAGAACTGAAGACAGCATGGGTGGATATGGAGTTCGCACCTGGGGATCAGGTAAAGATACCAGGTAGGGTGCAAAGGTGTGCTTTCTGTGAACCTACAATGTGGACATATCTGGATCTTTATTTGCCTGTCTTGAAAATTATGCCCTCTGCATTCCTCTTGCAGCCTTTATATTTGTATGCTTTAAGATTGATTTTTAGGCTTTTGTTTCATGAGATGACTTTGAAAAGCAGGTTTGCTATGTTGCAGTTAGATTTGAAACAGCCTTTAAAGTTCCTTTATTTTATCTTATTTTAGCCAGGCAAGTTTGTGTGTTTGGGGATACCCCTGGCACATTGCATTGTATGTTTGCATATGCTTCAGAATGCTTTTTATATTCCTGAGTATTCTATACTTTATTTCTCTGTGGCCTTCCTGAGTTTTTTGTGTACATTGCATCGTGATGTTATAAAATCAT